AAGGAAGGAAGGAAGGAAGGAAGGAAGGAAGGAAGGAAGGAAGGAGAGAGAGATTGGATTTATACTCCACCCTTCACTACCCGAAGGAGTCTCAGAGCAGCTCTACAATCTCCTTTCCCTCCCCCTCCCCACAACAGACACCCTGTGAGGTAGGTGGGGCTGAGAGAGCTCTGAGAGAACTTGTGACTGACCCAAGGTCACACCAGCAGCTGCATGTGGAGGCGTGGGGAATCGAACCCAGTTCTCCCAAATTAGAGTCTGTGCTCCTAACCATTACACCAAACTGGAGGCCAGGAAGGGTGACGGGGCAGTCTCTGGATTTGTGAGAGCCAGAATCAGTGACCGGACACCTGCTGAGTGACGCCCCCCTCCCCCCCAGCTACTCACAGATGAGGAGAGACTTCATAGAAGCTGACGCCTCGGTAGCGGTCCATGTTCTGCTTGCTGTAGATCTCCAGGTCCTTGTATGGATTCACCGAGACCAGGACAGAGCCGATGTAGGTCTGAGGAGGGAGAAGGTGAAGAGTCAGGCAGGCCTCGGGGCGTGAGCAGAAGCAGCAAAGCGGTACAGAGCAGCAGAAACAGAGAGCTGGAAGGTGCCCCGAGGGTCATCTAGTCCAACCCCCCTGCCCATGGTAGAAAATTCACAGCTACCTGCCCCCTCCCCCAGTGACCCCTGCTCTAGGTCCCCGGAAGGCAAAGAACCCTCCAGGATCCCTGGGCCAATCTGGCCTGCAAGAAAATTCCTTCCTGACCCCAAAGCGACGATCAGCATTACCCTGGGCATATAAGGGCCATGAGAGCTGAGTACTGGCTCATCCCTCCCCCCCCCTTTCCCTCTCACAATCTGCCTAAATTCACAGGATCCTCATTGCTGTCAGACAGCCATTTAGCCTCCGCTCAAAAACCTCCAAGGAATGAGAGCCCACTACCTCCCGAGGAAGCCTGTCCATCAGTAGAGAGCCCCATGCTTGTGGTCAACTTTAAGGGTTTTAAGCTTCAGGATATCCTTAATTTTGGCCCTCTGTTTTGAAACCCCACGGGGCACGATCATAAGAGGCGTCCTTGGAAAAAAAAAAAGCAGTCTTCAGCTCACAATGTGTCCGGAGTGGAAAAACCGATGAGAAACCAGCTGGCATTCTAAAAGTTTGGGATATCCTCAAACCCTTTCCCAGAAAAGGGACGCTGCTGAAGATGACCTCCTGCAGGCCTCTCACCTGGAATTCTAACACTGCATTGCTAGCCCCTGCTTTCTCTATGAGGCAGAAGGGAAGGCGGCTCGAGGGAGGAACCAAGTGAAGGGGGGTATGCGTCACCCCTGGATCAGGATCGGCCAGATGCTGGCGTCTGCAATCCTCTGCTCCAGAGTGTGGGGGGGGACTATGACAGGTGCACCCAACCACCACAGAAATGGTTCTATGAAAAAGCAAACGCTGGGAGCCACTGCCGGCCGAAGGAGGACGAGGGCTGCTCACACGTTCCCCCGCTCCGCTACTCACATAGATCAGGTTCTCCTTGAATCGTTTCCGCAGGTTTTCGATAAAAGCCGCTTCGCTGGTGAAATTTTCAAGGAGTACGAAGTCCTGCACTCCCACCCGATCCCGGGCCGTCAGAGCGTTCTCCATGGCTAGCTGCACTCCACCACTGCCGACTGCCTGCAAGCGAACACACACAAAATGTGTAAGGTGAGAGCAAAAAAAGACATCAAGGCCAAGAGGACAAAGAAGGTCATGGAGGAGAAATCCAGTGACGGGCCCGCATCTGTGCTGCCTAGCCAAAAGGTGATTCCTGACATGCCAGTCGGCTAGCAAACAGGGCTCCCGCGACTGCTGCAAGAACAAAGCAAAATCCAGCCCTTCCAAGGACCCCACATGTGGGGTGTTCTGTCTCCTCCCCAGCACCAATACTGAAGGCTGGCTGCATTTGTTTTCACACAGATCCACGAACTACTGCTGTCAACAGCCTGCACTGGAGAGCACCGTGAAGAGCAGTGTTCCCTCTAAGCTGAGTTAGTGTGAGCTAGCTCACAGTTTTTTAGCCTCCGGCTCACGTATTTTTCTCTTAGCTCAGGACGGATGGCTCCCGAGCAGACTAATTCACGCAGGAGCCAAATTGCTCGCTCACAGCTTTAATGCCAGTAGCTCACAAAGTAGAATTTCTGCTCACAAGACTCCACAGCTTAGAGGGAACATTGGTGAAGAGTATGAAATTCTGCTGCCGTTTACCACTGTTTTTGCGCCCCCTGATTGCACCGGCCTGGCCTGGCCAATCAGTGATCCAAAGGGACAGTGGACGGCAGGGCAGAGCAATAGTCTCCATGGCACTGTAACACTCCAGCACCGCTTGGGACTTTAAAAGGGCAACACAGAAGGACCTGGCACCAGGGACCTCACACAAGCTCTCTGCGGACACCTCTCCACCAGTGCTCCCTCTAAGCTGAGTTAGTGTGAGCTAGCTCACCGTTTTTTAGCCTCCAGCTCACACATTTTTGTCTTAGCTCAGGAAGGATGGCTACAGAGGAAGCTAATTGATGCAGTAGCCAAATCACTCGCTCACAACTTTAATGCCAGTAGCTCACAAAGCAGAATTTTTGCTCACAGGACTCCACAGCTTAGAGAGCGCATTGCCCTCCACCCGTTTCTGGTGGCACCCATCCGTCTCAGAAGGGAGGGGAAGCCAGGTGTTTGCTTCCTGCTCTTTGCTATGGGACCGCTGCTCCCTCCCCTGCTCACCTTCTTTTGTTCATGCTGGGGCAGATGGTACCCGACGGGGATGAGAGACCTCTTCTGCTGGATCTGCGTCCACAGGCCCTCCACTTTCATGGTTTGCATTATGAGAAAACTGTGCAGGGCAGTGTCCCCAACTCTTTGCTGGCTGCACTGAGGTGCGAGAAACAAGCCTGCCTCGCTACAACTGCACGGAGCCCCTTGGAGAAAACCTTACCACGAAGAACATCTCCTCCCCTTCGCCATTCCCATGAGAAGGGGAGAGAGGCGCCCGGAGCCGCCCCTGCCTCTCCCAGGGATGTTTTTCATCTCTTTTTTTGCCACTATCCCTCCACAGAAAGCAGAGCGCAAGTTTGGCTTTGTCTACTAATGGACTTTCCTACGTTAGCCACCTCCCGGGGAGACAGGGCGCACTGGGAAAGACAATAATGCTAGGAAAGGTTGAAGGCAGCAGGGGAAGAGGAAGACCCAACGTGAGATCAAGGAAGCCACAAAGGCCCTCCTTTTGCAAGACCAGAGCCAGGCTGTCAATGGAAGGATGTTTTGGAGGTCATTTCATGGGTCATTCACAGTCGCCAGAAGTCGGAAGCTTCCCTGGGCTTCCCTGAGGTGACGGGATTATCTACCGGTCACAAAGCAAACGGGATGAGCTTAATCTGAATGTAGACTGCAGGAGAACAAGGATGGGATCAGTCTGGGAATCCCTTCTGAACCGGAAGCCGGCAGTCCTAAAAGGCCGCAAGCTGGAAGGGAAGGACGGGCCCCGATGCACACAGGACCCAGCATGGGCTACGCACATTTCGCAGTCCCCAAACACACAGCTTCATCCTGGGAGACGTGGTCTCTTTCTGGACCAGACTACTAACAGAGACGGACAATGAGTTCAATAACAGCCACAGCAACCAATGCCTTCGCCTCCAGAGCATTCCAAGGCTGAGAACCGACCAATCGTGAGGCAGCTGGACCGCAGCCAGAGCAGAATGCCTGGGGCTCAGCGGCAGCCAGGCTGAAGGGATCCAATCGACGACACCATCCAGCACCCTTTCCAAGCAAGGTCTTGGCACCTGTCGCCGGGAGCTGGCGTTTCTGTTGCACGGGATTCTGCATTGGCCTGACATCCACACATCAGCCTGCTGCTGCAGCTTCTAGCGCGATCATCACTTAAGATCACACTGAGGGCCGACATCAGCATACCCTGAGGTGGGGTAGGGGCCAGCGCCCAGGGCTCTGGGTGGGGTCCGCTGCTGCTCATGCACCTCCCCTGCCACCTGACTGCATGCCCGTCCCCCTTCTGTCTGCTTGAAGAGCTCTGCCACCCGTGGTCCCTGCTGCCCAGTGTCACTGGGGAAAGGCATGTGGTGTGTACAGGAGGTGCTGCCGTTAGCCAGGGCAGCTGTACTCCCAGCTGCATTCACCGGCCAGTTCTGTCGGGGAAAGGTGTGTGGGTGGTGTAGGTAACTCAGCACGGGTAGTGGGAGGGCCTGGGAATGGGAGAAGGGGGGGCACACAGGTGTGACCACTGTGAGGTATGGCAGGCCTGGTAGTGGGCAGATGTCTGCCCAGAGCACCTCAGAGCCTGGGATTGCCCCTCGTCACTCTCCGTGTGGAGACCTCGTAGAGCTTGGAGCAGGAGGGAACACTGTGTGCAGTTCTGGTCACCACACCTTAAAAAGGATATTATAGCTTTGGGAAAAGTGCAGAAAAGGGCAACTCGAATGATAAAAGGGTTGGAACACTTTCCCCATGAGGAAAGGTTAAGGCGCTTAGGGCTCTTTAGCTTGGAGAAACGACGACTGAGGGGTGACATGATTGAGGTTTATAAGATTATGCATGGGAAAGAGCAGGTAGAGAAAGAGGTACTTTTCTCCCTTTCTCACAATACAAGAACTCGTGGGCACTCCATGAAACTGCAGAGCGGTCGGGTTAGAACGGATAAAAGGAAGTACTTCTTCACCCAAAGAGTGATTAACACTTGGAATTCACTGCCACAGGAAGTGGTGGTGGCTACAAGCATGGACGGCTTCAAAAGGGAATTAGATAAGCATATGGAGCAGAGGTCCATCAGTGGCTATTAGCCACAAGGTATAGATAGGGACTCTGGGGCAAGTGATGCTCTGTCATCTTGGTACTTGGGGGGGTCAACAGTGGGAGGGCTTCTAATTGTCCTGGCCCCATTGGTGGACCTCCTGATGGCACCTGGTATTTTTGGCCACTGTGTGACAGAGTGTTGGACTAGATGGGCCTTTGGCCTGATTCAACATTGGCATCTCTTATGTTCTTATGAGGGGTAATGCCACTGGGGTGACCACTGATTAGCTCACCCTAGATAAGCCCAGGCCAAAAAACCAAAACAAAACCCAAACAACTCCCTGCAAATCAAGGAGGGTGCTTGTTAACAGTGCCCCCTTACGTTCTAGGGGGGGAAATAGTGACCTATCAACCTAGAAGGGATTTCCTCTGGCCTGATACCCATTAATGCTTCTCTGCACCCCATCCACTTCAACTGCGATCAGTACCACAGGTACCATGTACAGAACTCCACCTGGACTGGTCCTGGAAAAATCGTTCGTTGGCCAAGTTCTCCTTTGGCAGGAAGCCTGAGTGAGATCCAATGCTCCCTCTGAGCTGCGGAGTCTTGTGAGGAAGAATTCTACTTTGTGAGCTACTGGCATGAAAGTTGTGAGCGAGCGATTTGGCTGCTGCATACATTAGTTTGATCTGGGGCCGTCCTTCCTGAGCTGAGACAGAAAATGTGTGAGCCGGAGGCTAAAAAATGGTGACCTAGCTCACACTAACTCAGCTTAGAGGGAACACTGGTGAGAACCCCACTTTCTCCTTCTGAGGGAGCATCTGAAATCCGGGCTAGCCAGGAGCACGTCCCCTGCCAGTCTTCGGCCAAGCGACTTCCAGATGCCCACTGTGGGAAAATTGGTGTATCTCTAAAGGGAGATATCTGATGGCTTGTAAGTTTTAGGTATCAAGAAATTGCTTTATTATTTGTTTCAGTATTCTATATTTTCCACTGCTTAATTTATGTTTGTTTGCTTGCATTATTTATGGTTTGCCTTTCTCTCAGGGACTGAAGGCGGATTATACACAGTCAGAGTTCAAACACCCAAAAATGGGACATTTCAGTAACCAACGAAGTAGGGTTTTTAAAAGTCTGGAACCACCAGAAAGAACTAAAGCACAGCGGAAGTATCCACACGACACATTCAGCAGTACAGAAATTACATAAATAGGACCCTGTCTACAAAAAGCGACACGCCATAGTATACAACACAGTCCCTCAGCATTTATCCAAGCAAGCTTCTAAAACCAAGTAAGCTTCTAAAACCTATTACCTGCGCAGGAGAGCCCTCTTAAACAGTTCAGTTTGGCATACTTTGCAGGAAGCCAGGAGACGGGTATGTAGAATAAAACCTTCCCCACCCCTCATTTGTTCCTTGATTCTAAGAGACTCTCTGGATTATTTCCCTTCACGAGCCTGCTGTTCAAGTGTACCCCACCTACTAAGGGAGAAAGTGGGGAGGATCCTTCCCCCCCAACACACACACACAGACTACAACCAAGAAGACAACTACAGCCTTTTCATAGACTTAATACACCTGGGTTTTGCAGAAACCACTAAAGGGCATGCTTGGGTGTAGGAGATCTAGGCAGCCCATCCAAGACCTCCTATCTGCATACTCCGCAGCATCCAGAAGACTGTTTCCATAACAGCATGCACTGGGGGAAAGAAAGCATAACTCACGTACACACCGCTTTGCATTCCACAGAGGCAGCGCCAGCTGTCAATCCACTCCCCCCCCCCTTTCGTACGGGGGTTAAGGTTAGGGAACCGGCAGGGGGTGGGAACATTGACAAGCATCAGCAAATCATCAAAAACAATGCAGATGGCTTTTTGAGTATGTTGTGCTCTGTCGGGA